GCGCACCCCGCCCCTCCGCGCCCCGCCGCCTTCGTAAGGTCCGCGTCTCCCGTGCCCACCGGTGCACCCGCCCTGGCCTTGGTGAACGCACTATCTGCAGCCGTGAGGAAAGCCAGGCCCCCTCGACTTTACTCCTCTTCCCATTTTGCAGGTATTTCGTTTTTATTTCATGTTTAACGGCTACGGAGACTTAGCACAGTGCTCTTTTATTTAATGCAAATACAAGCGATCAATGGTTTTATGAAGTTTGTGTCTTTAAATAAAACAGAACAGGAAAAGAGGTGGGTAAGATTAATTTGAATTTTCCTGGAAGTGATTTTTAATATTTGTAACGATTATTTGAAACTTGATTGATTTGAATTCGTAGATACAGGAGCATAAATTTCAGCTTTCCAAGTACACTGACTTTGCCAACAGCACAAACAAGTTAGGAGTGACATTCACCAACAGACCAGACACATCAGTAGTAGCCCATCATCGCACAGACAGGAGAGGAGGCTGGAGAGGCTAAGTTACTTGCAGTGCACTCATCTCCGGAGGGGGGCTGGTCTGAAACCTTGGTCCTGGACCTGCCCATCCTCCTGCAAAATGCCCGTCCCACAGATCCAGCAAAGTGTGAGCCTATCAGGAGAATTCCACGGAAGGTAGAATTTTGCTTCTCAGTGTTGATTAGAGTTAAGGTTTCAGTACTTGTTGGTTTATGGGACACGTTTTCCCATTTAGAACTGTTAGCATGAAATATCTACTCAGTAATCACAGCTCACCACAGCAAAAGGGATCTAAATGAGACCATGATCTATTTTCACACCATCTAACTACGTTAGGTTCCATTGGCACTGATGATGAACAAATTTAAGAAATGGCAGCCTTTTCGAAGCTTGGATAGAGCTTTGTGGTTTCAAATGAAGTGGAGACTTAAGGAAACCACAGATGTCCAGAATCCTTTTTGGTAGTCAGTTTTGTGTTTTCTGGGTTAGGATTCTGTATAGCCCAGGCTTTCTGACTGAGAATTGACTTTCCTACATGATATTACCAGGAGTTCCAGGGACCAGTCAGCTAACACGTATGCCTAATATAGCAGAAGTAGTGATGGGGGCCATTAAAAACTGCCCTTAGAAAGAGATTTTCAATTTTTCATTCACAAAGCAAATGAAGCTTCCTAATTGCTACGAACACAGCCGGAAAGCTCAGCTCCTACTAGCCTGCAAGCCCTTACTCTCTGCTTCCTTGTGTGACCTTCGCCTCTATTACAGGAACAGCGTGGCTGCTTTCTCTAGTTCACTCGTGTTCAAAGAATTCGTGGCAGGCTGTGGTAACCATGGCGATGAAGGCCACAAATTCCTGGAAGTCACATTCGCCATCTCCATCGTTGTCCAGTGTTTCCATGACTTTGTCCACAGCCTCCTGCTCTTTGATTTCCTACGAGAGATCAGTCACCCAGCTTGTTTTTAAATGAAATTTAAGGCCATCAAAACATGATTAAAAGTTGGCTGGCTTAAAAAATCTGTATCAGAAACAACCTAAGATATAAAATGCAAAATACCAGGAAGATTTCTCCTGGGACCAGAGGACTGTTGTCCAGGGGTCTGTGCCTTCTCTATCTTACTTTAGGTCCAGTGGTACCTGGGCTATTTGTAAAGACTGAATGGAACAACCAAGATCTGAAAACCTGCAGGTTGTTATCACTATACTTAAAAAAAGAAGAATAGCATATCGATCAGCCAGGGTATATTATAGGAAAATGTCTTGAAAGAAAAAAAAGAAACTTTTGGCCCCCTTAAATTTGTCAGTTTCTGTGTGTAGCAGTCCCCACAATGAAGGCTTCCATGGATGTTTATGCTTTGAAAGGTTTTTTTTTGTTTTGTTTTTTGTTGTTGAAGTAACTCTTTAGCATGCCCTAAATTTGTGAACTCTGTGTGTTCTTTTTGCCACGTGAGCTGCTTTCTAGGTGTCATGGAACTTTTTCTGACAGTTCTTCCCAACACAGAAGCCAAGTGAACAGTCTTACAAAGTCTCTGAGGAACAAACATGGTGCAGGGCCAGAACCATGTGAGAATGTGGCATTTTCACTGAAAAAGAGCATCAGTGCAGGTTGTTCAGAAGAACAATCCCCAGTGCAGCGGAGGTTGGCCTGAGGAAGTCTGGTGTAATGTTCAGTGGCTGCCTTTAATCTAAAACATGTAAAAGACTGATCCCAGCCAGCGTGGCACAGTGGTTGAACCATGAGGTCATGGTTCGATTCCCAGTTAGGGCACATGCCCAGGTTGCGGGCTCAATCCCCAGTGTGGGGCGTGCAGGAGGCAGCCATTCAATGATTCTCTCTCATCATTGATGTTTCTTTCTCTCTTTCCCTCTCCCTTCCTCTCTGAAATCAATAAATATATATTTTTAAAAATAAAACATGTAAAAACTGAGATTCCAGCAGGGGTTGGGCGGGACCTATAAGCATAGGTTAGAAGATGGATATATTATTTCAATTATACTATTGGTTTGCCTCCTAACCAAAATTACCTTGATAAAACTAGGCCAACAAATGTTTGTGATACCTTGGCATACTTACCTTGAATTACTTATCTTTTATAAATTGTGGTTACCACATGCTAAGCTTCTTCTATATTTTAAAATCAATAGCAGTTACTGGTTTTTGAACTTTCACTATATGTTAAGCACTTGACAAAAACTATCATTTCATCCTCACAACAATCCTTTTTACAGAAGTAACTGGGACTTCGATTAAGTTAGAAGGCAGGATTGGTGGGACTGAATAATTAAACATGTGAGTGAGGCAGCTGCCACTTGGACTTGACTGCCTGAGAAATCAGTCCCAGAATCAGACTAGGGGATGCCTCCTCCACCCCCTCCCCCCCCCTCCCCCCAAGCCTGCAAGTCACTTCCTCTGCTCTAGTGGTGCCATTCAGAGCCTTGGAGTGTTTGCGTGGAGGTGGGACGGGAGAACCAAGCCAGCTGCAGACAATGGGTGCTGCCCTGATGCTGGAACTTGGGGCTCACCCTGCACCGAGAGGCTCAGCTGGCTGGGATGGTGGCTTCCTATCACCATCACCATCCCTCAGGATGCTCTGGTGTCTTTCCCGGAATTAGCTCCTGGTCACACATCCGTGCACTGGTGCATTGGCTGGCCTTCTCCCTGTGTGTGATTGGTCACTTCAGAACCTTGGTTCTGGGTACTAAGGGGAGGTCAGGCACCAGTTCATTGCCTTGGGGGTGTAAGACTGGTGTGCAATGGAGATGATGGGTGGCTGATCCAAGGGCAGGAGCTAGTGGGTAGGGAAGTGAGTCCTCCATGAGGTGTTAGTGGGTAGGGAAGTGAGTCCTCCGTGAGGTGTCTGGACATTCTTTTACCACAGATCAGAGTGGGACCTGTGTCGGGGAGGAGGGCTCATCAGGAGTCCTCATGCAGCTTCCTGAGTTAGGGTCCTCTCCAGTGTCTCTTATTCCATGAAGCCCCCTGCAAGCCCCCAGGCCTCCTGCCCTCAGTCAAGTAGGTTGTGGTCCTCCATGGATGTGCCAGCCTGGGTGCTTCCGAAGCAGAGGCCATGTCCTTGGGCCTGTGTCTCCCCAGTAGTGAACGTAATGAGTGGTCGGTAAATATTTGCTCAGTGAACGGCATCTTTATCACTTAGGTCCGTGGTTGGCAAACCGCGGCTCGCGAGCCACATGCGGCTCTTTGGCCCCTTCAGTGTGGCTCTTCCACAAAATACCACATGCGGGCGTGCATGTACAGTGAGATTGAAACTTCGTGGCCCATGTGCAGAAGTCGGCATTTTGTGGAAGAGCCAGTATTTTGTGGAAGAGCCACACTCAAGGGGCCAAAGAGCCGCATGTGGCTCGCGAGCCGCGGTTTGCCGAGCCGCAGTTTGCCGACCACTGACTTAGGTGGATGCTAAACATCTAGCTAAAGCTAAAATAGTGATTTTCCCCCCAAACAAAAACTTATCTTTAACGTCTTCTTTATATGCACATGGCCCATGATAAGTCGTGAGTCTATTTTCCATCCATTCTGCCATCACTGCTGTAAATCCTTAGATTTTTTTCAGAGAAATGTCAGCATTATTTGGAATCTGTACTTTTGCCTTTGAGACAGCAGTTTTTTCTTGATGTTCCTACTACATACAAAACCAATGAAAATGAAGACAACGGGGCTCAGCTAAGCTAAGCTCCATAATGAGGGTTCAATCGTGCATACGAGTTTCCAGAAGCAACCTAGGAGTCCTGAAACAGACCCGGAATCGCCTTCATGTCTGCTCTGGAGAGGAAGTGCACAGGTGGTTTTAGAAGTGGAGAGGAAAATGCATAAGCTGTCGATTTTAAAAGACTCACCTCTAAAAAATGGGAAAGCTCGTTGTTGATGAGCTCCTTGAGTTCGGATTTCTTCAGCTTGTGCTTGTCGCCCTCCTTTCCGGAATATTGATGGAAAACATCAATGAGGGCCACCACGGCCTTCTCCAGCTCAGACATCCTGGGGGTCCAAGGAGGAAAGATGCATTCTCATGCTTTTTGCCTTGTTTCACAGAGAACAGCTGACATCTTACCTATACAGACATCCACCCAGAGGAGGGGGCTGGGCCAGCCTTGGTTCAGCTCCAATGTCAAGCTCGGAACTTGCTCAGTGGTCACCAGTCTCCCATCCACCTTTTAGATCCACTCTTCCCCCTTTGCCCCTTTTCTCTGCCCCTGTTGGCTACCTTGACAAGTTGCCAGGCCCTCTGGCTTCTGATTGGGTTTGGCCAATGGGAAACTCCAGCAAAAATATGAAGGCAGCCCTGGCTCATCTGGTTCAGTTGGTTGGGCATCGTCTCGTGCATCGAAAGGTTGCTAGTTCAATTCCTGATCAGGGCACATGCCTGGATTTGGGGCTCAATCCCCTGTAGGGGGTGTGCAGGAGGCAGCCGATCACTCTTTCACTCTCACATTGATGTTTCTCTCTCTCCCTTCCTCTACCTCTAAAAATCAGTTTAAAAATCTTTTAAAAATATGAAGGCAGAGCAGTGAAGGAGTTCTGGGATTGATCCCTGCCTCCTACCTTGGGCACCCTCTGCCCTGGCAGGGCCCCAAGTCAGTGACAGTGCAGCTGAGCAGAGCAGTGCTGCAGGCTGTTAGAATTAATAAGAAAGAAGTAAGGTGACGAGGAGCCAACTGAGGGTACAAACATCAATAGTAGTCTTATATTCTGTCAGTAAACAATTGGAAGACAGGAGGAGAATTCCATTCACACAGCAGCACATACGTATTACTAGGAATACGTTTAGCATGAAAAGTGTGTAGGTCTTTTCAAAAGATTTTAAAGATCACAAAATGTAGGAATTTGCTTTCCTTTGAACTAATATGTAAATTTAACTCATTTTTTTAGTAAAAAAAATCTTTACTGGAAAAATTAATATGGTAGAATTTCCACACATTTTTTGAAAAAGAACATCAGTGAAAGGTACTTTGACCTACTAGAAACAAAAACGTATTATCAGGTTATACAGTTAAGCTGGTTCTGCTCAGGAACAGGCACGTGCAGCAGGAGCCGCCGCCACGTCTTTCTTTAGGATCCAGGGAGGTGCTGCCTCAAGTGAATGGGGGAAAGGCCGCTTATTCCCTCGTAAGTGTTTCTCTGCAGTTGCCAAAGTCAGAAACCTTCTGCTTCCCTCCACACGCACCTTATACCACGGCCTGTGAACTGAAGAAGTACCTGTTCAAACCTGGGGGTTAGGCACATTTTACAAAGGACAGTTTTTCAATTGTTTCATAAAACTGAGACACTTGGCCAGAGAAATTTACCAACTTTAGACCTTGAGTTCTTCTTCTTACAGAATCCTAGTACCGTTATAGTGAAAGATAAATACAAGAGTTACATCTCCTTGTGGAAAAATCATTCCCATGTTGAGTATGTCATATCTTAAAAATAACTTGGAATAAAATATTTAAATTTTTATTTCTGACTTCCCAAGGGAAAGAGAAATGAGGGTTTTCATCTTGGCCTGATTTTTGCCAAAGTCACACCATTAATTATCATTATACTTTGTTTTAAGTCCCTAGTAATCAGATATATCATATACCGAAAGGACAATTCAGATGGATGAAAATCTTTAACATTTCCTACTTTCTTATCCTTTGCACTCAAATTTCAATTATTGATTTTTTTTTAAAAAAAGAAACAAAACAAGCCTCAGTTGGTTAGAATGTTGTCCCAATATGTCAGGTTGCGGGTTTGATCCCCAATCAGGACACATACAAGAATCAACCAATGAATGCATAAATAAGTGGAACAACAAATCAATGTCCCCCTCCCCTTTCCTCTCTCTCTCTAAAATCAATAATAAAAAAAAGAAAACGAAACCTTTTATATTATCCTGATGCTTCTCAAAATTCATGATGTTTTGGGGAAGAGGAAGGTAAATTATTTTTTTTGTGAAGTATGACGGGATTTTTCTAAAAGGAAAAGCATGGGAAATATACTTCATATGTTTTAAAACTCCATAAAATCTGATTTTCTTTAAAACCATACTAGAAGTTAATTAATTTATTTTCCCTGTTAAATTCTTCCCGTTAACTAAGAAACAATTGATGGTGTAAAGCTTATCTTTTAAGAGAAATGGAAATAAATATCCATGTTCCTTTTGCACTTCATTCTATGACTTACTCCTGCTTCAATTAGCCTCTTATTCCTGTGTTAATCTTTTTATGTCGAAAACAAGAGAAGTTTTGGGCTTTTACACATCGCACATGATGTGAGGGTTCCCTCTAAGGAAGGGGCCCTACCTACTTGAGAAATGATCAGACTGATGAAAGTTAAACCCACCATAAACCCCGATTTCCTTGACCCAATTTATAATTCACTTGTGAAGACCTCTCAGTTTTCATGGAATTTCTGAGTGGGTGTCCAGAGGCCCTGACATTTCCCTTTGAGGGAAACGGGAACACTGAGAAGCAGTGTGTGCCCAGGGCTGGGGCAGGAGCAAGGAGAGAAAACACTCATCTGTAAGAGAGGGCTAACCTAGCATCAGGCTGCCCGTCCTCAGCCCTGCGGAAGCAAAAACCCTCCTCTTCAAAGAGGGAAGAATCAATATTTGCATTACTTCTGGGAAAATGTCAGCAGTCACCAGACCCGAGGTTTCTCCAATTTATGGTAATAAAAACATGGGCAAAATGAACCTCTAGCTGTCTAGGCTTGAGGCAGTCATGCCCACAACGCAGTAGTAAAATCCACACTTTGAAATGCTGCACTTATCCTAAAGGGGCTTTCTGAACTACCACCCAGTTCTCCAGCCCACCTTCTGGGATCCCTGCCCCTCCCCAGCCCCCCAAAGAGCAGGCTTTCCCCCCTCACGTGTGATCTTGGTCGCTCTTTGCTCTTCGTGGTCACCTCCTGGCGGCAGTGTCCTGAGTGGCAGGAATGGTGGGGAGGGATGGCCTTTTATTCCTTCCTCTGGGCGTGGGTCCCTTGTGCAGTCCCATTGCAGGCCCAGGCAGCCAATGGGGGCCGAGGGCAGGGTGGGGGTGGCTGGGGCAGGCAGGCCTGCACACAGGGCTGCATTGACCAAGCTGCCACCCGGGGACTGCACTTGGGCCAAGGAAGAAAACGGCCTGCGGGGCAGGAAGTGGGGAGTCAGCTTTTTGTGTTATTTTAAATTTACACATGAATATTAATGATCTTCTAAAAGCAAGGTTGGTGGTGGGGAGAGGAGAGAGACAGATTAATGGATTCAAACAACACAAATGTTCAGCCAAGAACTTGGAGCGTCCAAGTGCAGGCTGGACCATGCTGGTTTCCAGTGGAGAAGCCCTGAGCCCTCTCCTGTCTCCAGCTCCCCCCACCTGGCCCCCACTAGCTGGCAGGATGCCCTGTGGACATCTGTACCCTGAGCTAAGCAGGGCTGCCTCACGAAGCCACCGAGCTCAACATCAGCAGGGACTGAGACATTTGGCAAAACAGATACTTGGTTCATTTGGGGGAAAGTCCTTGTTTAATATGATTGAGGACCCATGCCAGGCACTCTCCAAGGCCTTCTCCTTCATCCCAGGGCGCACAGTCACAGACTTTCAGAGCCAGACGGTGCCACAGACACGTCCTGTCCAATTCCTCAGTTCTGCAAAGGTACAGTTTCTGTGGGACTGAGGCCCACAGCCAGCCACAGGGAAGCCAGGCCCAGCCTCCCCGCCACCCATCTTCAATAGCACCATACCTGAGACACCAAGCAGAAACCCAAAAGGTATGCATTCTTTTAGGTGATAATTCAAAAAACATTGGCTTTGAAGTAATAGAAAGATGTCTGACCCAGAATCAGGGCCCTTCTGACTCAGGTTCACAGTGGCCACGGATGGATCCAATACACAAAGATGTCTGTGGACACAGCTGTTCTGTTGTCATCTGTTTTACCGGAAACTTCTTGTCTATTCAATACCCAGAAGCATAGCCTGGAAATAGCATGGGGCTGTGAGCCTTGGGACCTGAATTGTCCCAGCCTGGACCCCCAGCCTATTTCTTTCTTTCTTTCTTTTTTTTTTCCTTAAGCAATTTTAATCACAAACTGAAGGTAAAGGGGTACAGGCTGGCTCTTAGAGAGTGGTGGCTGACTCTAGGCCACGCTCCTGGAAGTACCGGTGGGGGAGATGGGGGGTGTTTCTTGGCTTTTCTTTGAAATAGGATGTCATCCTCCCTTGTCCTTCCTGATCCCCTGTTGGCAAGTCCTCCCACATAACACCTTCCGCCTCCTTCTCCAGGATGCTCTGGGCCGTGCGCCAACTGAACACCCAGCCTCTTTCTTATAACCAGTTGACTGTGGAAGAAAAAACGTGAGCTCGGTTTACAGGCGGGTCTGCAGGATATGCTGATCCTACCCTAAGTGGACAGATACAGCACTATGGCCCCACTTAACGGGACCCTACAAACAGTGGCGAAGGGAAGTCCTCTCAGGGGCTGAACTTTGAGACGCACATTGGGTTGTCTACTATGTCTTGCGTGAGAAGTGGCCGGTATGTGGATGTATATTAATTCAGGGAAGGCTACTAATAATTAGCAACTTGGATGGAACAGATTTGGAAATTTGGCTTCTGGAAGAGCCATCCACTGGCACACACTGCAGAAAAGGCTCTGAATAATCAGCTGGAAAGTGATCGACCCTGTGTCAGAGCTGGACAGTACCCGAGACATGTCTTGTCCAAGTGCTCTGTTCAGCCAGCTCTGACTGCCTTTGCTCGGGATTTGCTCACTGTGTCCATGAGTGAAGTGATCAAGTGGCAGGCATGGATGCGTGCATGTGCTCATCATCATGGCCTTCCACTCACCAAAGCTGACCAGGCTTTGAGCTCCCAGCAGCCGAGACCAGCGATGAGCCCTGTGGTGCCCAGCCAGACGCTTGGTGGCAAGTTGATTACATTGGACCTCTTCCATCATAGAAGGGACAGAGATCTGTCCTCACTAGAATAGACATATATTCTGGATACGGATTTGACTTCCCTGTCCATCCTGCTTCTGGAAGCACCAGCATCCATGACCTCACTAAAGCCTTAGCTACTGTAAAGGCATTCTGGACAGCATTGCCTGTGGTCAAGGAACTCACTTCAAGCAAAGGAAGTGCAGCAGTATGCTCATACCCATGAAACTGAGTGGTGTTATCACACGCCCCATAGCTCAGAAAGGTTGAAAGATGGAATAGCTTCCTGAAGAGTCAGTTATGATGCCAGATAGGAGGCAGCATCCGGAAAGGGATTCTGTATTACCGGATACAACAGATAATCTGAACCAGGGGCCGTGACGTGGTGCCATGTCCCCACAGCCAGAATGCTCTTCTCACTAGAACATTGACTAACCTACTTGCAGGATTTTTGTTTCTTGTCCTGGCAACTTTGAGATGGTTTGGAGATCTTAGTCTCCAGAGGAGAATGCTTCCACTCGGTGTCATAGTAATGGTCGCACTGAATTGGAGGCTGAAATTGCCACCTGGCCACTTTGGGCTCCTTATCCATGTCCCCACAGCCAGAATGCTCTTCTCACTAGAACATTGACTAACCTACTTGCAGGATTTTTGTTTCTTGTCCTGGCAACTTTGAGATGGTTTGGAGATCTTAGTCTCCAGAGGAGAATGCTTCCACTCGGTGTCATAGTAATGGTCGCACTGAATTGGAGGCTGAAATTGCCACCTGGCCACTTTGGGCTCCTTATGCCTCGGAACCAGCAGGCAAAAAAAAAAGGGGGGGGGGAGGGGGAATGGA